GAAGGGGTGTGGGTGTGGGGGGTTCCTCACCCCCCCTCCCGGGACCAGGTCTCCCTCGCAGAAGAGGCGGATGGCAGGACAAGCACGCACGGGTCCTCCTGGGGCAGGCTCGCTGGCTCGCTCGCTCGCTAGCGTCCCCCACGCGGGCACCCGTGGGCTCTCAGACCCGGCAGGAACCCGCCCACTTTCCACCCCGTCTCGGCCCCAGCCCGAGCCCCCCCACCCCGAGCGGGGGGGGGGACAGCGGCGATCGTGGAGTGCTGTTCCCGAGCACCTTGTGCGCTAAGCAGAGCGGTGCCCCACCGCGACTCAGGGCAAGGAGGTGGTCGTTGGGAGAGAGCCGCACCACCTGCCCTCCACAGGACAGCTGAAGGTGTTTGAAACCACCGTTGCGGTCTACGTGAGCACAATAAAAAAAAAAATGACAGCCGACTTTTGCCCATCATTCGTTCCTTGGCACGGGAGTGCCGCGGGCATCCTCACTATACCTCAGGGGGCCGGCGTTCCTTGAGCGCCTCATTGACTCCACGTGGGCTGTGAGTCGTCGCCTCACAGCTGATGGCCGCGCCCTGCAACCCAGGTGTCCAACCGTGTCTGCATAAGCACCCCCATGACAAGGCTGCCGACCGCTGGCCACTACCGAGCTTCCCGCTCACAAGCACCTTCTGTAGTCACTAGACAGACATGTGCACAGGGTGTCATAACTGCATGAGCACCGGGCGTCATAACTGCATGAGCACCGGGTGTCATAACTCCATGTGCACCGGGTGTCATACCTAGAACAGTTAGGAGTTCAGCCCGGGCAGGAGGCGTCATGCATAAGACACGGGACGATCGTGGAGCTCGAGTCCTCCATGAGCCAGGAGAACAAATCAAACAAAACTGAGACACGTGCAGCCTAGGACGGGACTCCACGTGAACACCATGACCATGGTGTGCAGTCCAATAAAACTCATCATCCACAGACAGTAAAAGTACCCTGTTTCGTATCCTCCGGGAGTACACGCACATGGGCAGCTGGCGGGGTCAGCCCCCCAGAGAGGAGGGGCGTTCAGGTCTTTGGGCTGGACCACACCTCTGGCCTGTACCCCAGTTCTCTAAGCATAAATAAAATCTTAAAAAAACAAAAAACAAAAAAAACCTACAAACCCATCATGCTACTTTCTGTCTGCAAGAATTAAGAATCTCAGAAACAGGCCCTCCCTGGTGGCGCAGCGGGTCACAGCGCAGCACTGAGAAGCTAAAGCCGCTTCCGCACGAGTTCGATCCCCGCCTGCCCCGGAGGTGACCCCAGGGCGCGGCAGACCTCTCCTGACCCGCCCGCTGCTCCCCTCAGCAGTGTGCTTCGTCCATCTGCCTGTTCTGCTCCCCGCTCTGTCTCTGGTGAAGCCTCTCACCACCCCTGACCTCTGGCCTGTACCCCAGTTCTGTACGCACAAATAAATCTTTAAAAAAAAAAAAAAAAGAATCTTAAAAACAAAGAAAAAAACCCAGGAGAAATGAAAGAAGAAAAGCAGCTTGGAATGGCCCCTCTCACCCCATTAGATCATCACAGAGCTACAAGAGTTTGGTCTCCTCATGGAGGCGTGCAGAGCTGCAGCGGGGACGGGCATCCAGCCGGTGGCCCTGTGGTGTCCACCTCCATGGGCCTTTCCGGCTGCTTCCCGGTCGCTCTCCCACCCGGAGACCAGAACCTGCATCGTCCTCACCTCTAGCTCCTCACCTCTCTCACTGTGCTCTGGTGCCCACCTGGCGAATGTGCCTGGCCAAGCGCCGAGTCCTAAGTGGAGCTCGTGTGGTGCGGCTGGTGCAGTGAGCTGCCTGGGCTGCCTAAGCCAAATTCAAGCCCAGTGGCGAGCAGGCTGCGTGGCCGGCCCGTGGCGAGCAGATGCGTGGCGTCCCCGCGCGGGAGTGCGCACCTACAGCCTTTGCCAGGGCCGTGCGGGAGGTTGCCGTCAGGCAGAAGCCTGGCCTGCGTCTGGAGGCGAGCGCTGGCCGCCATCTTGTACTCACTGGGGTCTTCAGAGACGCTGGGGACCGGCTGGCTGACCCGGCAGCGGGTGTGTGAAACTGAGCCCTTCACCTGCCGGACCCTCCTTCCCCAGCCCACGGTTCTGTCCTACTGGAGTAAGCGTGTTCATCTGACGGTGTGACCTCCGCCCGGGGCTGCTACACCTTGGGTCTCCTAAGTTTCGTTTCCTCAGCAGGACGCTGAAGGCCCAGGAAGGCCTTATCTCGGGTGACTCAGACCTGCCCGGCTTAGAGGCTTCGGCTCTCCCCTCCTACACAGCCCGTGTCTGGCTGCCCAGCGCCACACACACAGGCTCAGCCGGCCACGTACAGCCCAGGGCTGCGGGCTCCACAGACCTATCGGAGCTCAGCTGGGGGAAATGCTTACCGGGAAAGTGCAAGAAGCACCGCTTTGGAGGCCTCCCTGGTGGCACGAGGGTTAAGGACACAGCGCTATCAAGCTGTCCGCAGCCACTGCAGCATGAGTTTGACCCCCGGCCATGGGGGTGAACTGCACGGCGCGGCAGCCCTCTCCCGTCTCCCCGCTGCCCCCCTCAGCAGGGTATCTCAGTCCATCTGCCTGCTCTGCGCCCCACCCTGTCTCTGGTGAATCCTCTCACCCCCGCCCTCTGCACCTCTGGCCTACATCCCAGTTCTTATATGCAAAAATAAATAAATCATTAAAAAAGAAACACCACTTTGTTGTTTCTTGTGGCCATCCAAGTGGACTGCAAAAGGTGAACAAAATCAGAAAATTTAGAAAAGTAGCATCCATCATTCTTAATCAAATGACATAGAGAAGCAGGAAGTTTCTTCCCAGTCTGCTTAGCTTCTGCTTTCCCAGGTCCTCTGCTGGGGGGAGTCTGTTGCTTGGATTCCAAAGTCCCTGCAGGCTACTGCTTGTCCACACTAGCAGTTTCGGCCACCCTGAGCCCCTCCCCGGCAGTGCAGAATGCGTATGCTGTGACGCACGGGGTGACACGACTCCTCGGACAACCTGTATGGAGCCTGACCGCTCCTGTAATTCAGGGCTTGGCCTTTTGGGACGGACCCCACTGCGCCCATCTGTGTGACAAGCAAATCTCTCTCCACCCACTGAGTGCTGATTTCTCTGGGAAATTGCTGTAACGCTACCACTGATGACATGGCTTTACGGGGTCCCTGAGCGAGCGGCGAGACGGAGGGAGGCTTGGGCTGGCCAGCTTGGCCGTGTCCTGGGCCCTTGGAGTGTCGGGGCCGCCCCCGAGGAACAGCACCTCTCTTGGGGCCCGAGTGTGAGTCCTGACGCGGCCCGCGGATTTCACTCAACGTTAGGAAGCAGTCATGCAATTCCCATAGAAGATTATGTCAGGAGGGTGGACGACTCCTTGTGCTAAGTCTTTGAAACCCGCGAAGTATTTCACACCCAAATCCGACATTTCAAATACTCAGGCGCCACATGTGACTGGCAGTTACTGTCTTAGGATAGTGCCAAAGAGTGTTCCTAGATAAACAATCAGAGATGCAGACAGAGGATGAACTACAGATATTTATCTCTGGATTTTTTGTAATTGAAAATTGGAAGGATCCGGAAGTAGCCAATATTGAAATGCTCCACAAGAATGTCAACTCCACGAGGCCAGGATTTTTTACAATTTTATTTTTTAATATATTCATTACATCATTCTTCGCTTTGTACCTGTATGCTTTCCCCGTGCAGTTCCCACCCTCGATTCCCCTGTGCATCACCGCCAGGGACCCCTGTGCTCTCCCACCCCGTCCCGGCCAGCCTCCCTCCGCCTCCCCTCCAGAGTGCCTCTGGTCCTTGACCCAGGCAAGGACTTTGGTCTGCTTTGTTCATGCTGCGCTCCCAGGGCCCAGAGCAATGCTGGGCACAGAATAAGTGTTCAACAAGTACCTGTCACTCCGCGAATGCACACAGACACCTGCACAATATAAACAGAGATACTCCCTGGCTATCTGCTTTGAATTCGTAAATACTTCGCAAGTTGTATTTGTTGTTATTTTTATTGTTTTTGATAATAAGCTGCACCACAACCTTCCCACCAGGTATGCAGAAGAAAGTCAGGATTTGGAGTCCCACTCATTTCTCTCCCTCGTCGCTCAGAGGTTAGATGGGAGTGGGGGCGCTTGCGGGGTTCAGGGAGAGGCTTATTAAAGGAGAGGTGGCGGCGGGGGGGGTCATGCCTGGATTCCGGCCCTGGGTCTGACACCAACTCACCGCTGGCCCCAGGGGTTTGCTCTGTGCTTTCAGAATAAAGATGCCCCCCACCTGCCGGAAGTGGGGGGCCAGTCCAGGGGGCTCCGGCAGTTTCTTTTAAGAAGCCGCCACGTGTCATTTTCTTGGGGAGTGTGCCCCCACGGAGTGCATGCACCCCGGTGTGGGCTGAGGCGCGGGGAGACTTCAGAGTGCTGTTCGTAACTCCGGAGTTGGCATCTGCTGTCAGCCGGGCGACCCGCTGTCCAGGCCTAACAGTTGTGTACCGCCGGCTGAAAGGGCGAAGCAGAAGATGACACAGGCGATCCTGGGACTCAGTGGGCACTTACGCGGACACCGGGCCGTGCTGCCTGGATCCCCCTGCGGAGACCCGGAGCAAGGCCCAGCTGTCCAGGGGGTGACAGTCCCTTTGGGGTGGCCTGTCTGGGGGCCACACCCTTCCAGAGGTGCTCACACTCAGCGATGGCCCTTGTGGGCCACCTCGGCCTGGAAGCCACTGGGCTCCAGGGCCCCCTCGGGGTGGGCTGGGATGGCCGCACCCCAGCTCGGTTCTCCCTGCACCTGCTTCCTTCCCTCCCTCCCACAGGTGCTAGTTCCAGTGGGGCCTCCCTGCCCCCAATGTCCTGCACCCTAAATTCCTTCTCAGAGTCTGCTTTCTGAGCCCACCATGGCACCATCAGCCCCCCTTCAAGAAAGAGCCCCCCACCCTGGGAGGGGAGCACCTCCAGCCGCTGCCCCCCACCCGTGTGTCCCCCCAGGCCCCCGTCTGCAGACACCCCACCACAGGCAGCCTGCGTAGCTTGCTGGAATGAGCACCTCTGCCCGAGTCTGAATCCCCACTGCGTCTCCCAGGGCAGGCGACTGCTGGGTCTGTGCCCCTTTGCGCCTCTGTAAAGGGCTCAGCACTGAGTCCGAGCCCGCAGCGGACTTTAATCTCTGGCTCATTCGCTGTCACTTTAAAGCAACGGGCCGGCCAAAGCTGTGACCTCTGGCCAAGGGGACGGACGTTCAAAATAAACTCTGGCTACACAGATGCAAGGGCCCCCGACGGGACACGGCCTGGGCACAGAGCAGGTGAGTGATCGCCAGCGACCGCCCCGAGTTGCACAGAGCGGGTGAGGGAAGGAGAAGAGGAAGCAAAAACGCACCAGCACGTTCCAGGGGCGGACGGCAGAGCCGTCCCAGTTCCTGAGGCACGGGTAGCTCAGCCAGGCGCTCGCCTCCTCTGCCAGCCGCTGCCAGCCATAGCAGTCACCCGCCACGTTTCCTGTTGGGTCAGCTGGGTCCAGAATCACGGGCCTGGAGGGTGACATTAGAGACGGACAGATGAGCAGGGCTGTGTTTGGAAAGCGAAACTGAGCTGGGGGCAGACTGGCCTGGGGCAGGAGGAGGCCCTCAGAGCTCTGTGCCTGGGGTGCGTCCTGAGCCCCCCCCCGGGCAGCGAGCCCCCACGAGGCTCACCCTTGGCCTGGGAGGCCTGGGTCTGAGTCTCACGGACACCCTGCCTGGGCCCCGTGGCCCGTGGCCAGGACATGCGCCCTAGCTAAGCCTCAGTTTCTTTATCTAGGAGACGGGGAGGACATGCCCACCTCAAGGGCGTGGTGTGAGAACCCAGACAGCCTGGGAAGTGCCCGGCCTGGGAGCACCACCAGGCCAGTGCACGCCAGCCACAACCACGTTTGCTCTCCCGTGCCATGGGGTCGTCTGACAGCAGGCGCTTAGCCGCTGGCAGCCATTATCGTCGCTGCCACTGTGATTTCAATTCACATTTTGGTTCTTCACTCCTGTCTGTCCCGGCTGCAGAAGGCTCGCTCACCTGTGAAGCGATTCCCCCGGGGCTGCCTCCCGGAGGTTCTTGTTTAAGCCAAATGGTGGTCGTCAGACGCCAGCAGTGACTGGCCGCCAAGGGAGCTCCCCACTGCCTGACCCCCACGCCCAAAGAGCTGCATCTGGGGCTCCTTTATGTGGGAGCAAGCCAGGTGGGAGAAGGTACCTGTTTCTCTTGAGCTGCTTCTTCAGGTACTGGTCAATGACAGAGTTTTCAAAGTCATAATACTTCGTCCAGTAGATGCAAAGCTGTTGGTACTTGAGGACTAACTCCAAGACGGTCCGAAATCCCTGAGCAGTGATGAACTCTGTTCTCTCGCCTCCACGCTCCCACGCGTAGACAGTCAGGAGTTCGAGGGCGTACTGAGGCGGCAGCTGCTTCCCAAGCTTCTCCTTGCACTGAGAAGAGAACACGCCATCAGCGGAGTCTGCCCAGCTTTTGTATAAAGCGCATGTCCCAGGGGGCAAAGCCAGCCTGTCACCTACTTGTGGAAGTCAAGTTTCCTGGAACAAAGCCACGCTCACTCACTTATCCAAGAGCATACAGGGCGCTTGTCATAAATTAGGTAAAGTCTCGGGTCCGAAGACCCAAGTTCAAATTGTTCTGCTGCTTCTCGGTCATAAGAACTGGCTTGTAGTTCTGTCTGGAAAATCGGTTTAATCATAAAAGCTGCCCTGACTCATGACCCACGTCACGGAACCACCATGAAGACAAGTAAGATGCAGGGCATCAAAAGTAGAGAAGGGCACGTCACATTCACAGAGACCCGATTTGGTGCATCTGGTCCGTAAGACAGAGGCCTCATCAAGCGCACATTTATTAGGACTGATGTGCGAGCAGGCACGGGTGACACGTGTCGATCTTGCTATGCCACGCTGCTCTTTGCAAGTGAGAAAGCACAAAGCGCAGAGAGGTTGAGTCACGTGCCCAAGGTCACACAGCCAGGAAGGGAACCGAAGGGGCTGTGGCATGCTTGTGCGGAAGCAGTTCTTTCTCTGCGCCTTCTGAAGGGCGCGGTGGGCCCTGTGAGTGTGTGTGGGGAAGGTGGTTGTAGCGTCCATGAACTCACTCAACAAGCACACACTGAGCACTGCTATGCGCCAGGCACATAGCTGTGAAGGGAACATACAAATTCCTCCCTTTCTGTACATTTTTAGTGGGAAGACGGATGATAAATAAATAAACAGACGCAAAGGCCTGGAGCCTGGGGTGGGGACGGGGCGTGGGGAGCAGGGAGGTCAGAGGGGAGGGCAGATCCTGTGAGGGTAGTGATGACTCGGACCAGGTGAGCGACAGAGCTGGAGACGACCGACGAGTAACGGTTCCGTGGTAACTACAGGACCAGGAACGCCGCTGACTAGCTGGCCCGGTGTGTGAGGAAGGCCGACCACGGCTTGTGGGTTTTTCTCGCCTCTCCCCACCCTGCTGCTCCTCCCTGTCCCTCCTCCAGTCCTCTGCTCCCCCCCCAGGGAGGACCATACCTGTTGGTACCAGTGCTTCACCAGGCGGATGAGGCTCTTCACCTTGGCGGGACGCTGCTTCAGAAAGGCTTTCTGCAGCTCCGTGAAGCAGGGGGAGAACTCACCCTCTCTCCTTAGATTTTCGCACTCTCGGATGAGCTTCACATAGATAGCAGGGTCCGGTCTGCAGCCTTCAGACCACTGACCTGTTGGGGCCAACATGCTGCTTTGGGATGCCAGCGTGGCTCCGAGGTCCCTTTATTTGTGTGGGGAGCGATGTTCTCGGGGCGTGGGGTGCCGTGGGCAGGCAGCAGCCCGAGCTGGGAGGCGCATCCCCGGCTCCAGGCCCTGCCCCGGCCACCCCTGCCCCATCGGGACGGTGGCAGAGCCTGTGGTTGGTCCCTCCAGTCCACCTCAAGCCAGCACAGGAGCCTCTGAGACTCTGGCCGCGCCACGTCTGCCGTCCACAACTGGAGTGGCAGCCCGAGTGCCCCTGAGACTCGCTCGCGTCTCGCCGCCGCCTCGGTCTCGCCCACTGCGCGCTCCCCTCCTCCAATGCGCCTGGGCCTGTTGCTGGCCTCTAGCGGGGCCAGTCCTGCCTCAGGGCCTCGCACCCGCTGCCCCCACGCCCCGGAACCTCCAGATCTTTCCACAACTGGCGCCTTCTCGTCCCGTGGGCCCCGAGGCCACCTCTTCGGAGGGTGCTCTGCCCCCCACCCTGCACCCCTCTGCACCCCCCGTTCGGTTATTTTCTGCAGCGGTGGTTCACCCACAGTGCAGCAGTCGGGGTGCAGGCTTCGGTGCGCGCCCCAGCAGCGCAGCCACGCCCCGCGCCCCGGCCCTGCAGCGGG